AAGAAATGCAAGCCTTGCACATTGAAAATAGAAACATTGTGGAACAAAATTAAAGAAGACCCAAATAATTAGAAAGATATCTTATGTTCATGTATTGGAGTCTTTATAGTAGTAAGATGGCAGTAATCCCCAAATTGATCTATAGAGTCAATGTAATCTCTATCAAAATCCCAGCGCCCTTTTGCTATCTTTTTTTTTGTTTTGTTTTTTGCAGAAAGGACTTTTACTTTAGGACTTTTAGAAACTCATCCTAAAATTTTTATGTAAATACAAGGGATCCAGAATAGCCAACCAGTCTTGAAGAAGAACAAAGTTAGAGGACTCAGTTTTCCCAATTTTAAAACTCATTACAAAGCCATGTTAATCAAGATAGTGTGGTATTGGCATAGGAAAGACATGCAGATCAATGGAATAGAATTTAGTGTCTAGGAGTAAACTTTTACTTTTATGATCAGTTGAATTTTGACAAGTGTGGTAAGATATTTCAATAGGTGAAAGAATAGTCTTTTCAACAAATGGCGCTGGGACAAATAGATATCCACATGCAAAAGAAGGAAGTTAGAATCTTGCTTCACACCATATACAAAAATTAACCCCAAATGGACCATAGACCTAAATATAAGAGGTAAAACTCTAGAAGAAAACAAAAACAAATCTTCATGACCTTGGGGTAGGTAATGGTTTCTTGGATATGACACTAAAAGAAGCAACAAAAGAAAAAAATAGATAAATGGACTTGCTCAAAATAAAAACTTTTGTGCTTCAGAGAACACATTAAGGAAGTCTATGTAGAGATAGTATAAGAACCTTCTCTCTGGTCTCTTTACCAATTTTGTTTTCCCATTGTTTCCTTTTACAGTGCTATGCAAATGATGCCTTACAAATTTTCAGTAGATACTTGTTGGAAAGGGAAAAATTTAAAGCATATGATATATTTTATTTTATAAAAATTTTCTAATTTTATCACGCCTGTAATCCTAGCTCTTGGGAGGCCGAGGCGGGCGGATTGCTCAAGGTCAGGAGTTCAAAACCAGCCTGAGCGAGACCCCGTCTCTACTATAAATAGAAAGAAATTAATTGGCCAACTGATATATATATAAAAAAAAAATTAGCCGGGCATGGTGGTGCATGCCTGTAGTCCCAGCTACCCGGGAGGCTGAGGCAGAAGGATCACTCGAGCCCAGGAGTTTGAGGTTGCTGTGAGCTAGGCTGACGCCACGGCACTCACTCTAGCCTGGGCAACAAAGCGAGACTCTGTCTCAAAAAAAAAAAAAAAAAAAAAAATTTTCTAATTTTAGAACCTCCTTTATGTTAATTGCATTTAAAAAAATTAAAAAATTATATGAGCCAAAAATTATATGAGACTATGGCATGTGCCTGTAGTCCCATCTCCTCAAGGGGGGGCTAGGATGGGAGGATCGCTTGAGCCCAGGAGCTTGAGTACAGCATGGGCAACATAGGGAGACACCCTGTCTCTAAAATAAATAAATAAATAAATAAAATAATATAATAAAAATAATAAAATAAATAATAAAATAATAATATAAAATAATATAATAAAACAATATAATATAACAATAAAAACAATAAATATAAAAATAATAAAATAAATAATAAAAAATAATAAATTATATCTTTATTGGTCATCTTGGTACTTCTTTTCCTGTTTTCTACTTTCTTTCACACTTTTAAGTCTATTGTGTTCTCAGCAATATGTAATTTTCTCTCTCCCTTTTTTTTATCCTCTGATTGTATGTCTATCCATCTCTGAGATATGTGAAAAGTCATAGGAAAAGAAGACTATTTGAATGATACTAGAAAGTGGTTTGCTTCTCGGGGCATATTGAGAATGTAATTGTTGGTAAGAGTCCATCTTTCTAATTTGGGTTCTGCACAGTTGACTAAATAGTATTTTGAAGATTGTGTCAAACATATAAGCCTATTAGTGTTCATTTATAGACTAACATGGTTAGTAAGGAAAGAAGTACATGTCATTTTATGAAGAGAGGAAATGGAAAGATTATCAGTTGTGTTAAAGAAATGAGAATAGTATGTATTTAAAATTATGAGACTTTAAAAAACATTTTTGGTAATTCTTAGGACAACTGAATGTAGAAGATGAGTGATTATATAGATTCTCACTTAACCTTTATAGGCATTTTATACTTTATAAAATATGAATTTAAGTTAACAATGATAGGTTTGAGCATTCTTCTGAGATTTAGTTTGTGTTCAGCATCTGCCTTTCCTTGTTCTGCCAAGTCCTGCCTCATGTACTTTTTTTTCATTTTATATTTTGCCTCAGGTTCTAGATATACTGTTTATCTTTTTTGTAGGTTCTGCTAATGATTTATTCATTTTATGTAATGGTCTTATTTAGGTATTTGCAAGATTGATGTCTTCTTTTTTTTATAGAGATGGGTTCTCACTATGTTGCCCAGGCCAGTCTGGAACTCCTGGCCTCAAGCGATTCTTCTGCCTTGGCCTCCCAAAGTGTTGGGATTATAGGCCTGAGCCACTGTGTGCTTTGCCAGGGTCCATGTCTTTAACCTAATTGTAATCCCTTCCCTTCTCTCCCTCTCTCTTCCTCCTCCTCCTCCATCTCCCTCTCCCCTTCTCCTTCCCTCTTTTCCTCTTCTTGGTCCAGGAATTTAGGCCATTCTCTTCCTTGCCCATAATCTTTATTTCTTTTCCTTTCTTTTTTTTTAAACTAATCCAGTGACAGATTATCCATAATCTTTATTTCTAACATATATATAACTACTGGTATTCTTCAGGGCTGTGATTACCTTCGCCTTCCTTTTCTTTTTCAAATCAAGATTTTTTTAAATTAAAAAAATTCTTTTTATAAAAATTGTGTTTTGAGGTCTCGCTCTTTTGCCCAGGCCTGTCTCAAATTCCTACCCTCAAGTGATTCTCCTGCCTCTGCCTCCCAAAGTTCTGAGATTGTAAGCGTGAGCCGCTGTGTTTGGCCAAGATCAAGATCTTTTACTGCAGTTCCTAATTTTTATGCCTTATGTTCACATAGTCACATACCTTTCTCAACCAGTTACTTTTTTCCCAACATTTTATTGGAAATATTTTCAAACATACAGAAAAGGTGAAAGAGTTATACTATGAATATTGATGTACTTAACATCTGGATATCATTTTTTTTTTTTTTTTTGAGACAAGGTCTCACTCTATTTCCCAGGCTAGAGTGCTGTAGGGTCATAATAGCTCACTGCAACCTCAAACTCTTGGGCTCAAGTGATCCTCCCACCTCAGCCTCCCAAAATGCTAGGATTACAGGTGTGATCCACCACACCTGGCCTGGATTCCATCATTTTATCTTTTATTGTTTTTGTTATTGTATTTCATAGTAAGTAGCGTATATCAGTACACTTCCACCTAAATATTTTAGCATGTACATCATTGACATGATAGTTTAATATTTGTAAACATGACTTTTCTTTTGAGGTAAAATTTACATAGAACAAATGCACACAGATTTTAAGTATACTGTTAAATGATCTATCTTCTGTGTCCTTTTAAGCCACTTGTGTTCTATTACAGAGAGTGGCAACCATCGTAAGGCTGCACTCCCAAAACTTTTATATTTATTCATCTAGATTTTCAAAAATAGACTTTTTTTTCCTATTTAAGCGGGGGTATTGTGAGGAGGGTTGTTCAGTTTCCTTTGTTGTTGTTGTTGAGACAGAATCTCACTCTGTCGCCCTGGGCAGAGTGCAATGGCGTCATTGTAGTTCACTGCAACCTCCAATTCATGGGCTCAAGTGATCCTTCCGCCTCAGCCTGCTGAATAGCTGGGACTATAGGCCCGTGAGCCACAGTGTCCACTGATTTTTTTTCTTTTTGGTAAAGAGATGGAGTCTCTTGCTCAGGCTGGTCTGAACTCATGAGCTCAAGCAATCCTCCTACCTTGGCCTCCCAGAATGCTAGGATTACAGGTGTGAGCCACTGTGCCCGCCTGGCCTCAAAAATAGACTTTGAATACCACAAAGTACCTTAAAATTCTCTCCTTTTATAAAGAGCTGGGCGTGGTGGCTCCCACCTATAATCCCAGCTACTTGGGAGGCTGAGGTGGGAGGATCACTTGAGCCCAGGAGTCTAAGGCTGCAGTGAGCTATTATCGAGCCACTGCGCCCCAGCCTGGGTAAGATCCCATTTCTAAAACAACAAAAAGATTTCTCCTTTTTTATTTTTGTTTTTATTATATAAATGTGCTACACAGTAGAATGATTATAGTTAAAGGCATTTTATTTTTTCCAGATTGCTCCATGCTTTAGCAAAAATTCTTAGCATGACTAATGATATCACACAATGCATGCTGGAGGAAATAACTTGAGGATGTTTTTGTTGAGTTAATAATATGAAATTGTAAAGAAAGGCCAAGATTGCACTTTTGTCAATTTTATAAGCTAAGTATGTAAAAGCAGTTGTTAATGCAAGACACTTTAAATATTTATGGAGTGCTTTATATTAAGTGCTTGTATTTATCTTACCTCATTTGAGCCTCACATTAACCATGTCAGATAGGTGGAATAGATAGACGATGAAAGGGAGGCTTAGGTGATGGGAAGGACAATGCACAGGTAGTGGTGCAATCAGTTGAACTCAGGGGCTCCCACTTTAAATTTTGTCCATTGACAACAACTGTAGTCACTTTGAGTCACTAGTTCAGGTGCCATTCAAGATACTGGATTTGTTTATGAATAACTACCAAATGTTTAATTGTGCACACTAGCATTAACTGTAATGGCAGATATGATGCAAAGACATACCATGACAATATGACAATATTTAGAGTTCTCCATGATGCAATACTTAGATATAAAGGAACTGTGTCTGTCAGGATCCAGTTGGGCACAGAACTATCTAAATGTGCTATATTTAGAATGTGACATGCTGATACTACATGTACATTCTGTTCTTACAAAAGTAAGCAGTGTCATGATTGAAGTACCACTTTTAATGTGGCAAAATGCCTATTGTTTCAGACATGTATTATGTGAGAAGTTCATTGGAGAAGAGAATGCTTTAGTGGTGTATCTATTTTGGAAGGCTTATATTCCACAACATCCTGAAGGTACTTCCCTTCTTTCCCTTAAGTAGACAAATACTGAATGACAAAACCATCTGGAGAAAATCAGCTTAACACTTTCTGGGTAAGAGACTTGACAAAAATGCAGGCATTTGTTCTTATCAATTGATGAAAGGTTTAGTTCTTTAAGTTATTTGATACCAGTAAGGAAAAGTTGGAAGAGATTAACATGGCTCCTGAAGAAAAGTGTTCTTGAAGAAACCTCATTGGGATAGAAATGTACTGAAAGTCCTTTAGGCTCAGAAAGCATATAAGCTATTTAATGTTGCCTTTGAGTCTATATCCTTATTTTTGTCATTTTGTTGAGAAGTAGTTCTCCATTGGCTATGGTAGGAATCTTATTTCTTTCAAGGTTTCCTCCATCACTGATACAGAATGGTATGGAGTTCCTGGAAGATAGATCACACAGGAACTTGAAATCTTTAATTTTTGTGATATTGTTAAGGATGCCTGCCTACAGAGTACAAATAATATAGTTCTTTCAAAAGTACCAGATTGTTCTTTGAAATGGGTAATGGTTTATCTGCCTCATGTGCAGCAGAAAAGGTGACAGGACCTGGCCAGTGATGTAAACACCTAGGTGCCCTCTGTATAATACATAGGAAGGACAAGGAAGATGGACAGGAAGTTGTTCCCATTTCCTGCCTATCCTGTGCCTTTGTCCCTTTCTTGTCATCTTTTCCTCAGGTCTGCCTAGCTGGGAGCTTATTAAAATAATTTTGAGGTAGTTTTAAGAAAGAATAATTTTTTTACATAAATTTGTCAGCCAGGAGTACCCTGGTGCTCTAAGGTGTAGACAGTGTTAGTTGAGAAAGAAGGAAAATGGATTATGGGAAGAGAGGAGAAAGATGAGAAAGAAGTACATTCAAAAGTGTGCCCTGGACAGTGGTTTCAGATAGTGTGTCTAAGTCGTATAGCATATTGTGCCTAATTTGGTGTGATCCATTTAGGGACCAGTTTATTCTTTGAGCTTTGGATCAGAATGCTTTTATGTTTTATTTTTTAAAGTATCTCTTCTTCCTCAATGCTATTGAAATTTTAGAGACTAAAGAAGAAAAAATGCATCCCGAATTCTATCCTCCTAACAAAAACACTGTTAAACTACTGATACGTTTCCTACCAAATTTATTTTTTCTTCTGTAATTATTTTTATGTATCTGGAATTAGAAAATGCTTACATTTTTGTCTCCTGCTTCTGTGAAATGTCTTTCAGTGTGTCTGTGGAAAACTGGCTGAAGGACAAATATCTATGATACCACTATATATTAGCTAAATTGTCACTCTAGTCTGAAAAGGAACTTTGAATTGCATGTTGTTTTTTTCCCTCAATAGGTGACTAATAGTTGTGTGTACCATTACTATTTTTTAAAATTTAAAAAATTTTTTTTATTTCGGCATATTATGAGGGTACAGATTTTAAGGTTTCAATAAATACCCATTCCCCCCTCCCCCCAACCATTACTATTAATTAAGTGAATGATATTTTAAATTATGCTGAAGATGAAGGTGATTAGATACTTCTGAGAAAATTCCCCTGTACTTTTCAGGAGTTGTCCTGATTTGTGGTTGGGATTTATCAGCTTCTGCTTTCAGATTTACATTTTTGTTTGTTTCCATTTAAATAAGTTCTTTTTTTAAATGATCATATTCAGATATATTGTCTATAGTGAAGTAATAAACCATCTTCAGTCTTTATTCTGGTTGACACATGTAACAATCTAGCTCTGGGGAATGAGAAATGGTGTTAAATAAGATGAGAATGGCTTAATTTTCACTGGAGAAAATTTTTTTTTGGTGGAAGTGGTTCTGCTTTATTTTGCCTAAATTAAGTAAATCCTAGTACATTAAAGTCACTTAGAGTTTTCATATAGCCAGTTCTGTTAGGACAGACTTACTTGAGAATTCCTTTGTGACTCATACTACAAAGAAATTTTGTCAGTTTATTTTGTTAAAACTAGGAAAATTTTTTTAAGTTAACTGGATATTTAGCTAAATGAACTATACTCAGCAATGTGTGTAGAAGATAGGGAGGTTATGCAATTTCAGATGCATTCACTCCTGGGAATTTTTTTTTTTTTTTTTTTTGAAACAGAGTCTCACTTTGTTGCCCAGGCTAGAGTGAGTGCTGTGGCGTCAGCCTAGCTCACAGCGACCTCAAACTCCTGGGCTCAAGCGATCCCACTGCCTCAGCCTCTCAAGTGACTGGGACTACAGGCATGCATCACCATGCCTGGCTAATTTTTTCTATATATATTAGTTGGCCAATTAATTTCTTTTTTTAGTAGAGACGGGGTCTTGCTCTTGCTCAGGCTGGTTTCAAACTCCTGACCTCAAGCAATCTGCCCACCTCGGCCTCCCAGAGTGCTAGGATTACAGGTGTGAGCCACCTCACCCAGCCTCTCCTGGGAATTTTTAATCTCAAATTCCATGTGTTAGAAAGTTTAGATGGTCTTAATCTTCCTTATTATTTAATTCTGGCAGATGAGTTTCTCTCTCCCCCCCCCCTTTTTTTTAAATTGAGACAGGGTCTTGCTTTGTTGCTGTGGCTAGAGTGCAGTGGCATCATCATACCATAGCTCACTGCAACTTTAAACTCCGGGGCTCATGTGATCCTTCTGCCTCGGCCTCCCAAAGTGATAGCATTACAGGCATAAGCCATCCTGCCTGGCCTCTTCTCTCTTCTGTAAAAATAGTTCTACTTAATAATAGATTCATAGATATATTCTTTTTTAAAATATATATTTATTTTTTATTTATTCGCAGCCCCCTGTGCCAGAGTAGGTCCGGAGTGACTCCCCTGTAGATGTATTCTTAATCATTCCGCTGTATCAGTTTTGTTCATCAGTGTATCTTCAGCACCTCCTGTAGTACCTGGAAGTAGCAGGTACTCAGCTGTTAGTTACATGGACAGTGTTGGTTATTGTTAATTGCAGAATAAGAAATCTTCATATTTTTTTTTTGTGGTCATGGTTTAATTGGAATTGTTTGAGTTTCACTAAAAAGCAAAGTTACTTTTGTAACTTTAAGGCTCAATATTAAAACCTCTTGAACAGGTTCTTCTAAAACTTTATGCTGAATGACTTCTCTGAAATGTCTTTCACTCTGGGATGGAAATAGATTTCAGAAATAGCTGTAGCAATTTAAACTGTTACATAGAATTACTGCTGACTGCAGTTTTCGGAGGCTAGTATTATAACGCACTGTCATAGGTTGCTGTGGGTAGCATAGTGAAAAAAGTTAGGAGGTTTAGTAATTAGTATAAATTTAACTATTCCAACATATATTGGAATAATTTGGTAGTGGGAAAAAGCATTTGGTGACTAATTTCTCTAAGGAGAAATATAATTTCTCTTTTAAAAATGAATTTATAAGGATGGGTATGGTGGCTCATGCCTATAATCCCAGTACTTTGGGAGGCTGAGGCGGGAGAATTGCTTGAGGCTAGGAGTTCGAGACAGGCCTGTGCGACAGGCCTAGATGACATAGTGAGACCCTGTTTCTACAAAAAATAAAAAATAGCTGGGTGTGGCAGTATATGCTTTTTTAGTCCTAGCTACTTGGGAGGTTGAGGCAGGAGGCTTGCTTGAGCCCAGGAGGTCAAGGCTGCAGTGAGCTATGATTGCTCCACTGCACTCTAGCCTGGGTGATGGAGTGAGATCCTGTCTCTAAAAGGAAAAAAATTGATATATATATATGTGTGTGTGTGTGTGTGTGTGTGTATAAAAACATTAAAACCACACAAGAGGAAATATCCTAAATTATTCTCTTTCTGTTTATTTCAGGACTGAAAACAGTGAAATCACTTTCAGAGTTAAAAGACTATTAAGAATTCAAGATGGGGACTCCTGGTTCTGGAAGAAAAAGAACACCTGTGAAAGACCGATTTTCTGCAGAAGATGAAGCTTTGAGTAACATTGCCAGAGAGGTATGTCTGGTAAACCCCCTCTCTGAACACTGACTTGCACAGATAAGAGCCTTGTAAAAATACTGCTATGACAGAGATATAGATATTCATTCATTGAGCTAGTTTCAGAATTTTTACTATGAGCAGGATGTTATGGCTGGCCTCTAAAATACTATGTTAGAGTAAAAAATACTTGAATATTATCAACTGAAATAAAATATAGAGATGAATCTCTAACCAAAACATTTTATTTGGGACAACAGGATTGTAATTCAGGGCATACACACGGACTGGGGTGGTCTTTGATATGTCCAAAACACAAAGAAAAAGCTGGGGGTTTTATTAGAGAAATGTTATATATTGTTTTGGAAAAAAAGTCATTAGCACTCATGAATTTTTCAGGAGGTGGCATTCTCTAATTAGTGAGTGACAGCGGTAGGTAAAACTAGTCTTAGAGTCACTGCAGTTCATTTCTGCAACTACTAGGTAAACCTGGTCTTAAGGTTGTAGCAGGTCATTTTGGCACTGGCTTGGGAGATAATCCCTGGGCAGGTGCTTTTGCTCCAGTCGCTTTTCTTTTCCTCCTCCCATCTTGACTATAACTTAATTGGATATGGTAGACGATTCTAATTCATATAATCAATTTTCACATTACCCAGCTCATCTAAAATTAATTTTTCATTATATTTTTGTGGGTTATTTTAGTTCTAGGAACTTGTCCTAATGTATTGAAATTTATAATTAATCTTCAGAATTTAGATTCAGTAATTAGAATGTTGAAGATATAAAATTATAGAAATGCTCATGGGCTTTAATATGTTAATATGTTCCAGGAGGTGCTAGATAAATGTTAACAGAAGCAATCCTTATTTGGTGTTCATTCAGATTCACTTGCTTAGCTGTTTTCTGAAACATTGCAGTGGAATTTTTATGTTTAATTTATGTTAATTTTTTAGCTAGTAATAGAGGTTCTGGGTTCTTTTTTTTTTTTCAGTTTGTTGACAACTCAGGAAAAAAAAAAAGGGAAGAGGTGTCACCTATTGAATCACTGGCAACATTTCCTGTTGTATATTGGAAATTTATGATAACTCCCAGCTGGAATTTCTTAGTAGAGTGCTAACTTAGTTTCTGACTGTGTTGGCAGCTACAGACTGACTATAAACTAATCTGGTACAAGAATTGCTTAGAGCATCATTAAATTATATTCTTTTGGTGAGAATGATTCTCTTAATCACTTCCTTTATGTTATTCTTAGTAAGTAGCTCATTTAGGACTAGTACTGTTTCCTTTTGACATATTACATAGTCTTCTTTTGATCCAGCTCATTGTTATGTTTTTCCTTTTCAAAGCTGCCTGGTTAGCTTTTGGATTAGAAGTAAAATCCTATAGGAGGGTATTTAAAGCAAAGTTATTATCTAAAAACTTATAACAAAATTGTGAAATTACTTTAAAAATCAATTAGATGTTTTTAAATAAAAAGTTAAAAGATACTTAAACATGAAAAAGTAGATATTACTTTTCAGTGATCTTAAATATTTGCATAAATGAAGCATTTTGGAAGCCGTGTAGCTTTAGTTGAAAATTAAAACTACTGCAAATGTTTATTTCCAAAATTGAAGGGATTTACACAGATTTCTCTAAGGGAAGAAAATGTCAGTACCTTCTAGCCTCCTTTTTTTTTTTTTTTTTTTTTCCTAGACAGGGTCTTGCCATGTCCCCTAGGCTAGAGTACAGTGGCATGATCATAGCCCACTGCAACCTCAAACTCCTGGGCTCAAGCTATCCTCCTGCCTCAGCCTCCTGAATAGCTGGGACTACAGGTGTGTGCCACCACACCTGGCTAATTCTTCTATTTTTTGTAGAGACTAGGTTTCAAATTCCTGACTTTAAACTATCCTTTCGTCTTGGCCTCTCAAAGTGCTAGGATTATAGGCATGAGCCACTGCACTGGTCTCTTCTGGGTTCCCTTTGTACCGTCACTAAGCATTTGAACTTTTTTTCTTTAACGATGTGGGGTCTTGCTCTGGTGTCTAGGTTAGATTGCAGTAGCTACTTACAGACATGATCCCACTACTGATCAGCATAGGAGTTTTGACCTGCTCCATTTCTGACTTGGGCCAGTTCACCCTTCCTTAGGCAACTATCTGTTCCCCTGCTCCTGGAAGGTTACTGTGTTTATGCCAAACTTACTGTTGACACTTGATGGACACAGTACACTACAGTCCAGAACTCCTGGGCTCAAGCATCAAGCAGTGCTGCCTCACCCTCTCCAGTAGCTGAGACTACAGGGCTGTGGTATTTAACTTCACCTGGCTTGTTTGTTTTCTTCATGTGATGCTTCCTTTACAAAATTGGGTAGGATTCTAATATCTAACCCTTGTTGAGTACTTACTGTTTGGCAAACACTATTCTAAGCATCTGACATGCATTAATTCCTTTAATCTTCATAAAATTCTGAGATCGATTTTTATCAATTATCATCTCCATTTAACACATGAGGAAATCATTGCACAGGAAAGTTAAGTAACTTCCCCAAGGTTACCAACTAGGAAATAGTAGAGTGTGGACTCAAGCACATGAAGTCTGTCACCAGAGTCTGTGCATTTACCCACTTACTATACTATGTTATTTAATACTTACAGTCTTACAATCAGTCTTCTTTACCTACCCCATTAGTGGCTTGTTTTTCAGTAACTTTTCATGGCTTTGAAAGCACTTTCACATCTTGATTCTCATAAAAATCTTGAGCTAGTTAGGATAGATATTGTTATTAGCCTTATATACAGCTAAGGAAACAGATGAAACTGAGTAATAACTGTCTAAAAGAGATAACTCTCTGAAAGTTATCAGAATCAGGGCCCAAATCCAGCCATTGTACTTTCTAGTCTATCATACTGATTCCAGGAAAGATGGGCTTTGGAGACTTAAAAGCATAGCTTTGAATTCTAGTTTTACTAGTTATTAGTTGAATACTTTTGTTAAGTAACTTTTCTAGACTTCTCTAGGTTTCCTCATCTGTAAAATGGGAATAATACTGTCTTCCTGTCTCATAGAGCTGTTATGATGATTAAAGGAGATAAAGCATGTGAACGTTAGCATGGTATTAGGCTTTGCAGCAGGCTATTTTGTTGCTTATTAAAAAGTAGAAATAGACTCTTTTTGTCAGAGAAATTTATTAAGGTAGGTGTTCTACAACAGGACCAATCACTGGAATCTCCCAAGGAGCTTTATCAATATACAGATTCCCAAGTCTTATTCCATATTTGCCAAATCTTAATCCATGGGGGTTGAGCTTAGAAATCTATATTTAAATAAACACACATACACAAACTCACTTTTATACTCCTTCCCATGGAATTCTGATGGCCAGTCAGATTTGGAAACTATGAACCAAAACACAGATGATCCTATCTTGAGTGGTCAGTTTTTTAATACTTAGAATTTTCCTCTCTGTATGTTATTATTTTGCTATGAAATAACTGAGTTTAATCCACTTATATTAGAACTTATAAGAAAAGTTATTAGAATAAAAGGATATAAAAAGCCAGTATTTCTAGTTTTTATTTCTGTCTTCAGAGCTCTCAATATGCATATGCCACTGTAGTAACAGAGTCAAGGCTCAAATTTAACCTGAAACATGAGAGAGAGCCGGTTTTCTTAAGATTCAAGATTTTATTTGCACGAGTACATAACGTGTGATTTAGTGGTTTTAAAAATTTGGAGGAAATATGTTTTGCAGCTTTAATAGTTATTCGATATGTTCCTTGTGATTCTTTCTCTTTCCTTTAAAGTTTTCATAGCCATTCATGCACTGGATGGTTGGCATTCACATATAGTTCCTAATCCTTATTTTCTCCAGTGGGATCATCCCTTTCACAAAAAAGCATTGCCTTAAGTTAGAAACAAACAAAAACTAACAAATTGCCAAAATAATAAAAATGACAAATAGCTTAATATTTTTTATGTTAAATTTTAAGAGTTTATCTTTCTTCATTTTAAATTGTCTTTTTTTTTTGAAGTGGAAAGGGAATGCCATAAATACAGAAAAATAGCCTCTTTTTCTTCTTACTTCATATGTGTTCTGGTTTCCATGCTTCTCAGTTGGCCAGAAAACAGCAACCAAAGTGAATAAGGAGGAAAAGAAACAGGGCATAAATAAATTCCACAAACTGAAAAATTTACATGCTAAGATATGAAACAGTACATTTTAAAAATTATAGTAAAATGCACATAATGTAAAATTTACCATGTTAACCATTAAGTGTACTGTTCTGTGACATTAAGTACATTTACATTGTTGTGCAACAGTCACCACTGTCCATCTCCAAAATGCTTTTCATCTTGCAAAACCTGAGTGCATTTTTAAAAGATGTTGAAATGTTTGAAGACTGTTTCGTGAAGGCAGGAATGTGGGTGGAGTTAGAAGTCCTGTCATGTCTGTAATAGGCCTGTTGTTGTCTTGCTCTGGGAGCTTTGGCTGTTTATAGCTCTTGGAAGAGCTCAAAGGAGCAGTAGTCAGAAGGAGTCACCAGCAAGTCCCATAGGTGTCAGAAGACCAATCAGAATGCTTACCTCTCATGTGTGTTTGGCTTTGATTGTTTCACAGGTTTGTGGGAGATGCAATTGGAGAGTTGACTTTTAGTGAAAATGATCTGAAAGCACATATCTGGTATATCAAATTGGAGGCCATAGGCAGCTAGCCTTTCAAAAGGAGAAAGATGAGGGTAGAATTTATGCTGTCTTGCAACAGTCAGTTTGGCAAGTGCTATTTTAAATGTTTCCTTTGAGAAAAAATTGAAGCCTCTTGAAGGGTTTACAATAGTCTTTTTAAGGCATCACTGAAGCCTAGATCATTGCTACTTTCTTTGTTTTGGAGCTGAAATTATGAAGAAAACATGTTTTATCACATTTCTTTAAATGGAAGTCATCAAAATGTTGCTTATTTTTGGACCTGATTATCTGAGATTCCTTCTGGCTCTAAAATTCTGTGATTTCTTCCAAGGTCCAGGACCCAAAGAAAATTGAAGTTCATATGCATAGTTCTCTCAAATCCAAAGAATGAATGTCAGACATAGAAACTGACTATCTTTTATAAGAATTGAAATCTAGGCCGGGCGCGGTGGCTCACGCCTGTAATCCTAGCTCTCTGGGAGGCCGAGGCGGGTGGATTGCTCGAGGTCAGGAGTTCGAAACCAGCCTGAGCAAGAGCAAGACCCCGTCTCTACTATAAATAGAAAGAATGCATATAGAAAAAATTAGCCGGGCATGGTGGCGCATGCCTGTAGTCCCAGCTACTTGGGAGGCTGAGGCAGAAGGATTGCTTGAGCCAGGAGTTTGAGGTTGCTGTGAGCTAGGCTGACGCCACAGCACTCACTCTAGCCTAGGCAACAAAAAAAAAAAAAAAAAAAAAAAAAGAATTGAAATCTAGTACAGAAAATACCCAGAGATTTTTATGTTGACCAGAATTTACATATAAACATATTTGATGTACAAACCTATTTGTAATAATAAGGAAGAAAGGAAGCTCCATGGCTGTTTAAATTTGTGGCTGCTAGAACATTTGGATTTCTTTTTAAATGTACAATTCAGTGGCATTAATTACATTTACAATGTTGTGCAATCATCACCACTGTCAATTTGCAAAACCTTTCATTACCCCAGTCAGAAACTCTGTAACCTTTAAGCAGTAATTCCCCATTATCTGCTCTCAGCCCCTGGTAACCTCTAATCTACTTTATGTCTCTGAATTTGCCTATTCTAGATATTTTTTGTAAATGGAATTAGGCAATATTCGTCCTTTTGTGTATGTGGCTATTTCATGGAGCATAATGTTTCAAGATTCATCCATGTTGTAGCATGTATCAGAACTTCATTCCTTTTCTTTTTTTTCCCCTTTAAATAACTTCATTCTCTTTTTATGGTATAATAATATTCCTATATATGTGTATATATATATGACTTTTTGTTTATACATTCATCAGTTGATGCATACTTGGTTAGATTTCATTTTGTTGTCTAAGGAGGTAACAGCTGTTCTAGGTGTCTAGGAGTGAGAACCATTTGTGACTTTTGATTATGGACTAACAGCCTGAGGAGAAGGATATAAAGGGAAAGAATTGTGCTTAGTTTAAAAGATACTTTCCAGTGTTATTGCTTTTTGGAATTAAAATGATAATAACTTGAATTGCTATGGAGACTACTCTGAGAAAAACAAAAATTAAAAAAAAAAGCTTGAAGAGCTAATGGTCTTCTTACAATAATTTCATTACTTTGAATAATTTATTCATTTTTAGACCACAATAAATTAAGGATAAAAACTTTTTGGCAAGGGTAACAGCTTTAAAAATACAAAGAATTGCTATAATCACCAATAATTATGGGCATTAATACCACTTTTCAAGTAACAATTAGTTCCTTTTTTAAAATAACATAAATGTTTTAATGTCATTCATTAAATAATGAGCACCTACTATCTGCAGGTGCTGTGTTATATATGGAGGCTATGAAGTAGACAAGATTAGCATGGTCATTGCCTTTACGGAACTTAGATTCTTAAGGAGAAAATAGACACTAAACAAATAATTACACAGTGAACTAGTTCCTCAGTTTTGAAATATATTTAATGTGGTAATGTCTTGAAACTTATAATTGTCTGTATATGTCACAATCATTGGCAGTCTCAGGTTTGAGGAAATACAGTAATGTATAATGTTTATTTATAGCTGTGTTAAGTGTTTTGAGGGAGCAGTAAATGGTTTTATTAAAGAGTGTATAAATGGAGACTCAAAATGTCTGGGGGCTTTGGGAAAGCTTCCTTGAGGAAGCACCCTTTCAGCTGAGTTCAAAAGTATGAGTGGAATTACTTAAGGGAAAGGGAGTTGTCAGACGTGGGGAAGAGCTTTCCAGTCAGATGAAGAACATAAGACAAGCTCTTGAGATTGAAAGAGTATGGATAATTCAAGGAATAACAACAGCAACAGCTAACATTTAGTGAGCTCTTACTGTATTCTAAGTAAGAATCCAAGGCATGGAGAAGCAAAGTAACTTGCCCATGATGCCCTACCTAGGAAGGGGCAGAGCTGAGATTTGCACTTAGGCTCCCATGCTCTTAACTATAGTACTTACTGTAACATCACTGTAACAGTAAGTTACAGCAAAGAGGGGAATAGCCTGAGAATTAGTCAAGAGCCAGGTCAGGTAGGCCAAAAGTAATCAACCAGGGGAGTGATTTTATCCCCAAGGGGACATTTGGCAATGTATGGAGACATTTTTGCCTGTCACAATGCAGGAGGTTGTGGGGTGGGATGGAGGATGTGCTACTGGCATTTGTGGGTAGAGACCAGGGATGCTGCTGAACATCCTACAGTGCACAGTATGGCCCCCACAATAAAAATGATGTGGCCCAAATGCCAGTAGAGCTGAGATTGAGAACTCTGATGTAGACTCTTATAGACCTTATTTAGGATTTTGATCTGTGTCCTAAAAGCAATGGAAAAACATTGGAAAGTTTTGTGTAGGGGTATGACACGATCAGATTAGTGCTTTAAAAGGCTGAGGGTATGACACAATTAGATTAGTACTTTAAAAGGCTGATTTTACTGTAGGTTGGAGATTATATCAGCGGGAGTTATTTGTGGATGCAAGGAGATGTGTCATGTGACTTGCAGAGATGGTGGTGGTTGGGCTAAGAGCGATGACAGTGAAGGTAGAGGTGGTTGGAATGGAGAGGTAAGTAGTAGATGGTCAACGAGTGGCTGTGGTACAGTGGCAGGGAGGAGAAGTTTTAGCTTGTGCATGTGCATGGATGGTAGGGAACATTCAAGTGGGGAGGGAAGGCCATGAATTTATATTAGCACATGTTGTATTTAAGGTGCCTGTGAGACATCTAAGTGGAGATTTTGAAGAGGCAGTTTTGGGAATGTAGATCAAGATTAAAGGAGAGGTCTGGGCTGTAGATAAACATTTGAGACTTGTGAGCACGTAGACAGTAGTTGAGATCATGAGTGTGGTTGAAATCATCTAGGGAGAAAGTGTAGAGATTAAGATGATCACTCTTCTGACTGAACCCTAAAGTGCTATAGGATTTCAAGGTCATGTCTAGAGATTTTCCTAATTCTGACACTCTTTTTTGTTATTGTATATGTTTTGTTCAGATTGTTCTGTGCAAATTGGATTTGTCTGAAAAAATGACTCCACAGGACACAGAATTACTCCTATTTAAAACACTTTTATGTGTTCTCAGTGGTGGTACACAAAAATTCATAGAAGATTATGAAATTTGAGTTATTTTTTCAATTATGAAAAGTGAATGTTCTCTTTTCCATTTCTACCCAGTTAAAAAAATTGAAATTCTCCCCCTTTGTACTGATAGTTTTTATTAGACAAATCCTTTGAAAGGACAAATCTAAGTTGTGGTTTTAGTCACTTAGGATTCCTTCAAGTGGCATTAATGCATGAATTCAGCCAATTTCCTATGAGTGTGGACCTTTCTCCATGTTTTCCCTATTTACCTAGTGGAACCAAGGCAAAAGAAGAAGGTGGGGAATGTGATTAGGGTAGTACTCCCCTTGAACTTACCTGCTTTCCTTATGTACGGCCTGGCTCTGGTCACTGTTTGCGTGATGACTAGCGTTACTCTCTCAGTATCTTGGTTTGTTCCTCTAACTGGAATTAAGGGAGGATTATTAAGCCCTAAAACTTAGTTTTGTCTTAGTGTGACTGAAAAATATTTGGTTTAGCTTCCACTGTCATAATCTTTGCCATTTCTGTTACTTACAGGGATTTGGAGAAAAAAGATTCAGGTAGCATAATAACCATTAACCTAAATGTGAAACCATTACTAGTAGTACCCCTGAACCCCCAAAAGTATTTTTACTAGAACAATGATTCACATTTCCCCCTTTGGTTAGACATGTCATTGCAGATCCAAAGTTTCACTTATCCTATACTATTTATTAGGTTGTATTCAGACCTCAGGAATAAAATCCTTTACCTTAGGTAGTTTTTCTCATTACAAAAGAATATTTTTGCTGTCAAAAGGTCTCTAATAAGTGGAAGGTATAGTTGTTTGACATCAGAAAAAGGTGGGTTAAAATCCCTAGATTTTATCTAGTCTGTCTTGGTGTTCAGACTCAGAAAATTTTAAATATTTGTCCTCAACTACCAAAAGCTTTAAAAAAAGTGGCTAAACATAATTACATTGTAAGATCTAGTTAAGAAAAATGGTACCTAAGATTTTGTACTGAAGTGAAGTTGCTAGGAAATAGAGTAATAATTTTTATTTGTTAATTTGGAAACCATGGCAACACAATAAATATTATGTCTCTTAATTTGTCATTCAGTGTTCTTTTGGCATGAGTGTCATGGAAGAATAAACAAAATTAAACACAGTCAACTTTTGAGTCTTAGCTACCTGAGTTAGTCATTTTCTTCGAATGTTTCATTTTCTATACTTTTATGGTTCAGATTTCTTGAAATTAAAATATAGCCTGCAAATGGTCAGAGTATAACTTAGTTCTTTTCTCATGCTAGTTGCATAGATTTTATATTATGGATACACACGCAGGCTGGCAATTTCAGATTTTGTTGGCTCAATTCAATGCATTTCTGTCAAATTATGAGTTTTAAGTTTGCCTTCTTTAAAACTATGACATGATCACTGTAGGACAAAAGTTGTAAAGCTGGAAGAATCTCTTCTTTTGAAGGTATTTGAGTGTATGTTTTCATGTACTACTGTTTTTGAAAAAATATTAAATGCAGAAAGGTTTTATTAAGTATTCATGAGTCTCAGACCAAACATTAACAATTGTCAACATTTTGTCACAATTGTTTCAGATCTTTTTATAAAAAGATAGGAAGGTGGGTAGGTAGGGAGAGAGAAGATACAAACCAAGCTTAAGCCCTTTGTTTCACTCCTCAGACCTATTCCTCCCCCTTCTCCTCATAGGGAACCAGTGTAATAAAATCAGAAAGTATCCTTCTTGTCCTCCTTTTAAAAGTTCTGGTATATATCTCTATAAACAGTCTCATTTTATGTTGTTGTTTTTTTAAAATATTGATTTCTAAGTGCTCTGTAACAGACACAGGGGTGTGAAACAGCTAGAACCATGTGGGAAACTGCGAAACTAGTAGTTCAGTATGGCTGGAGAGGACCTGGAGAATGGAAGGAGTTGATGTTGGAGAGGAAGTAGGGATCAGTCCAAAGGATTACTGTGCTGAGGAATTTAAATTTGATTTTGAAAGCTGAGGGGAGCTTTTAAAGGGCAAATCCTTTTCCAGATTTGTATTACAGTATAATAGCTTTAGCCATCATGTGGAGAGTGACTGGTAGAAGGCAGAGTGGTTAGGAAGTTGGTGTAGTAGTCTTGGTGAAAGATGATAAGAGCCTGAATTATGGCAGTGACAGTGGGAATGCAGAGGAATGTTTGGATAGAAGAAATAGTAAAGAGATAGAATCTTGTGGGAGCTGGATAGTTGAGACTTGGTGACTGAATGTGGAGGTAGTATAAAAAAAGAGGGAGGAGCCTTATGATGGTTCTTCCATATTTTGAGTAGTGAGGCTGTTGATGGAGAATATAAAGAGGAAGAAAGATTAAGGGAAAGATTATAAATTAGATTAGGGATACTTTGAGTCTGATGTTCTAGTGGCCCAGCCCAAATTTTTTTTTTTTTTTTTTTGAGACAGAGTCTCACTTTGTTGCCCAGGCTAGAGTGAGTGCCTTGGCGTCAGCCTGGCTCACAGCAACCTCAATCTCCGGGGCTCAGTGATCCTACTGCCTCAGCCTCCCGAGTAGCTGGGACTACAGGCATGCGCCACCATGCCCGGCTAATTTTTTGTATATATATTTTTAGTTGGTCAATTAGTTTCTTTCTATTTTTGGTAGAGACGGGGTCTTGCTCAGGCTGGTTTCGAACTCCTGACCTTGAGCGATCCACCCGCCTCGGCCTCCCAAAGTGCTAGGATTACAGGCGTGAGCCACCGCGCCCGGCCCAGCCCAAATTTTTAATAGCCAGTTGGATTAGGATTGTGGGAGAAGTCTGGCTTGCACCTAAAGATTTTCAGGGTGTCAGTATGATCAAGGAGAGACCATAGAATGAAAAGAGTAAGAGATCAAGCCTGGAAGGGTTGATTATATTAAAATTTAAGGCACTGGCAGAGAAAAATGTGCTTACAAAGTTTTCTGAGGAAGATAAATCAGAGAGTAAAGAGGAAAGCCAAGAGACACTAGTATTGTGGAAAGCCAAAAAATGAGAGTTTTAAGAAGGAATGGGTGGTTAGTGATGTTGGAAGTCCAGGAAGGACAGATTATGAGATAAGAATAGAAATATTCTATTGGGTTTGGTAGTTAGTGGTGATTAGTGACCTTACTACGAGCAATTTCGGTAAGGTGATTTGGGCAGAAGCCAGATTGCAGTCATTTGGAGAGAATGAGAAGTGAAGAAGGAGGTGTGAGAAAGCTTAGCTTTAAAGAGAAGGTAAGGTAGAATTGAACCAGGGTGGGAATTTTTATTGGCTTTTTTTTTTTTTTTTTTTGAGACAGAGTCTCACTCTGTAGCCTGGGCTAGAGTTCTGTAGCATCAGCCTAGCTCACAGCAACCTCAAACTCATGGGCTCAAGCAATCCTTCTTCCTCAGCCTCCTGAGTAGCTGGGACTACAGGCATATGCCACCATGCCTGGCTAATTTTTTTCTATATATTTTTAGTTGGCCAATTAATTTCTTTCTATTTTTAATAGAGATGAGATCTCGCTCTTACTCAGGCTGGTCTCGAACTTCTGACCTTGAGCAATCCTCTCGCCTTGGCCTTGTTTGTTTGATTTTTAAAGATGGAGAGACTTTGAACCTACTTACCACAAGGAGAAAGAACCAGTAGAAGGAGACAGTGGAGACTGGGAAGAGAAGATCAGATAGTTGGGGCAAAGTTGCAGGGCAGGATGGAGTCTACATCATGACATGGAAGGGGCATGTGTGTGAGTTTGGGAGGGTTTTACCTTAAACAGCAGGAGGGCCAGCTCTTCCAATGGGAACACAGAGGAAGTAAGAAGGACGGGTACACAAGGGTACTGAGATGTATGTCAGTGCTTGGGAGAGTGTGTGTGGGGGGAATGTTGTCTTTAGGCCTTAAAATGTCTTCTGTCATGAAAACATTGGCACAGGAGGGGGTAAATACTAAAAGTATCAGACTGGAATAATGAAAAGAGAAAAATGCTGAACTGAGGAGGTTTTTTTTTTTTTTTTTTTTTTTTTGAGACAGAGTCTCGCTTTGTTGCCCAGGCTAGAGTGAGTGCCGTGGCGTCAGCCTAGCTCACAGCAACCTCAAACTCCTGGGCTCAAGCAATCCTTCTGCCTCAGCCTCCCGAGTAGCTGGGACTATAGGCATGCGCCACCATGCCCGGCTAATTTTTTGTATATATATTAGTTGGCCAATTAATTTCTTTCTATTTATAGTAGAGACGGGGTCTTGCTCTTGCTCAGGCTGGTTTCGAACTCCTGACATTGAGCAATCCGCCCGCCTCGGCCTCCCCGAGTGCTAGGATTACAGGCGTGAGCCACCGCGCCCGGCCTGAGGAGGTTTTTCATTGAAAAAAACCAATGGAAAAACCTTTTCCATTGATAATGAAGACTATTTAGACTGTATTTCTTGGAAACACCTTCCTGTTTATTTAAAAATATGCTGCAAATTTTTACTGTGACACAGCATTGAGTGGTATATCCCTTTTGTTTTTAAAAGCCTGTGTGGTTCATTGTGCAGTAGTCCCCCCTTATCTGTGGTTATGCTTTCCAAGGTTTTAGTTACTCTAGGTCAACCATGATTTGAAAACATTAAATGGAAAACTCCAGAAATAAACAATTCATAAGTTGTAAATTGTGTGTTGTCCTTAGTAGCTTGATGGAATCTTGTGCCATCCCATCCAGGACACGAATCATCCCTTTGTCCAGGGAGTACTACCATATACTTAGAATGTATGCTTCCTGAAAAAATAGACTCACTTACTTGTGGTTCATTAGATATAGTGCATTAAATACATTTATCTGATGAACCTAACAATTTAAAGTGTCAGAGAGGGAGTGTGTGTGTGTGTGTGTGTGTGTGTGTGTATATTTCTAATGAACTCTCTTGCCTTTTTGAATCTTAGGATGATGGATTCAGACTTTTTAAAAACAAATATGCCTTTCCCCCCCTTCCCAGATAGTCCCAAATGAAATTAATTTAAACATTTTTTTTCCCCCAGAGATGTGATATTACTCTGTTGCCCAGGCTGGAGTGCAGTGGCATGATTGTAGGTCACTACAACCTTCAACTCCTGGGCTCAAGTGATCTTCTTGCCTCAGCCTCCTGAATGCACCACCACATCTGGCTAATGTTTTTAGTTTTTGTTGAGATGGGATCTTGCTATTTTGCCCAGGTTGATCGCAAACTCTTGGCCTTAAGCGATCCTCCCTCCTTGGCTTCCCAAAGTCCTGGAATTATAGGTGTAGGATTACAGGAATTATAGGTGTATGAGCCACTGAGCCCAGCCTAAAAACAAGTTTAACTCAGCGCTTTCCAAACTTATGAGATTATAAAATTCTCTCTCATTTTATATATTAAATTTTATGTACTAGAATTTTATATATTTTAATATTTGTTTAGCTTGGGCATTTTTATGCACTTAGTCTCATCTATTTAAAAAAATGAATTTGAGATATAATTCACATACCTCCAAATTTACCATTTAAAAAATATTCAGTAGTTTTAAGTATATTCACAAGA